TGGTACAACCCAATTATTTTCTAACATTTTACCTCTCACTTTAACACAAATACCATTATTACGTCGCCTATACAGCGGGTATGAATTATCTTCAAATATGGTACTATTACAATAATTCTTTGGATATATATTTTTACAACCGTTATTTGTCACCATACATATGTTTTTAGGATTAAGTTTTCACAAGGACCATACATATTGTGCTTTACAATTACAAAATAAAGATGAGGGTGTATGTTTTTATCAGGAATTTCACCAGAGACTATCCTATCATCTTGTTGAGTGGAAGAAATTTTATGATCATAGTTAAAAAACAACAACAGATGTGCGTGAGGGAGATTTTTTTTTTTTTTTTTAAATTCAATCACATATATATGTGCAACAACAAGGCCTAAGATTATTTTCTTGTACTAGTCATTTTTGAGCTCTTCTAATTCTATTCTAAATTCGAGACGATTTTGAACGTCATCATTGTGCTTAAGTTCTTGCTTAATAACTGGCTAATGTGGATTGCATGTCATAGTAAAAAATATATCTAATTTTTCAAAGCACTGCACAATAGCCATTCCATTCATGCATTTCCTTAGCATATCTCTAGGCCCACAGGTAAAGGATTGCGGTAAAACAAACTTTCTTCCAATTTTATACCTCCTTGTATCCCATTTTGAACACTATCTATAATGCCTTGATAAACATCAGCACTAATTTGTTTCTGGTTAGTACGAAAATGGTCTAACTAGAAGTTTTAATCTTAACATACATATCTACAACATATTGTTGAAATAATCTATCAGTGTAAAGCAATATAGACTTACTTGAAACCTGATTTGAAGTTTGTACGAATAGTATTCTCGGTAAAAGACCTAAAAACGTGTCTTTGCTCCATAAAGAACTACACGATAAGGGCACAAAGGTAATGTAAGAACATAAATAGAAATCTATATCGCAATAGTTCGAAAGTCTAGTAAAAACTATGTACAGAAACCTTTATCCTCTTTTTGAATAAGTTCATATGCAAAAGCAATTGTGTTGGGAAAAGCGATCAAATTAGGAAAACGCCGAGGCTCAAAGTGTATATTTCTGCATCTCTTAATGCCTTCATGTCAATTAGATTCCCAATATGGAAAAAGCAGAGGTTACTGCAAAGGAACATAACAGCCATAGTAGTATTGCACTGTACATTGTCTCAATTATGGTACTTTTTTTATATACATGTCATTTGGAAAATTAGAAATCTAACCCCGTTTCTCAAGAGCTAAAAGATTGGTTTGGTAAGATGATGTTTTCGTGACCCTTTTATTGAATGAAAAATGGAGTATTATTTCTCTGTGTTAAATTTGGAGTATTGGCTTCTTGTTTTTCATTAGTTTCTCGGCTATGTGGTGTCGGACCTCTCCAAAATGACTAATCAATCCATCAAGCTTGGAAGCAGAATTCGTCAGGCTTGTTTTTAATGATTTTCTTCTTTTTAATTATGTATGTCACAATATCACATTTTATATTTCATCTTGAAGAATTTCGTTATTTAATTAAGAATTTATGTTTCTTGAAATAGAGACAGAAGTGTTCTTCTTCTTCTTCTTTTTTTTTTTTTTTTTTTTTTTTTTTTTTTTTTTTTTTCCTTTTTTTCCTCTTGGTAACACCGGTAGAATTTGATGAAAATGTCATTTGAAAGCTATAACTTTCCCACCAAAAGGGAAACTGCAATCATTAATATCTCTAGACATTTTATCTACAACTTCAATAGCACAATGATTTACCATAGGTGCTTCATCCTAAATTATTAACCTAAGCATTTCATCAAAGTTCCCAACGTCGATTGCATGCTAATAGAACGTACAATTTCACCAGTTGTTTTCAGAATAATTTCAAATCTCGAAAAAGTTGTTCAACTTCCAAGTAATAGAGATACGGATACTCTAGAAGATGCAGTGGCTAAGGCAATTAAATTTTTGAGATCTTACACGAACTAACAGGGCTTTACATGAAAAAGTTTTGCCTATTCTTACCTAGATCATCAATGAAGAAAGTGCCTCCTGATTCTGATTTCACTCTATCCATAATTGTATCATATACAAATTGATGTTCATTATTTAAAGTTGCTGTACAACCATACCGTCCTTCAATATCCAAATTTGATGTTTCCTTTATAACCAATCCTCTCAACCTTTCATTCTCATCTATATTTACATTGAAAGATACCAATCTATAGTAGTTTATGTTTTTACCTAATGGTTCTAAAATAGAACTTATATCCTGTAAAGCCTTGAACTCGGTAAATTTTCATGCACATAATCATTGATCCCGTAAACATTGAATTTATCCCGTAGGAACTTTGGATCATTAGGGATGTAAAGCGTAAGAAGTGTAGCAAAGAGACTTCTTAAATAATTAGATATTTCATAGATAATAGCTTCATATAAACATTCTTCGCAATGATAATCCCTATGATATTTTTTATGATCTTTATTTCCATCTATACATACATTCTTAAGATATAGGTATCCACAAGGGCCATGTATATTGTGTTTAACAATAATAGAATGAAGATAAGAATATATATTATTGCTAGGTATTTCATATGACACTATCCTTTCAACTTCTTGAGCACAAGAAATCTTATTAATACAGATAAAAATCAATGGTAAATGTGCATGAGGGAGTCTTCTTTTTTGAAATTCAATAACATATATATGTGCAACAACATGGCTTAAGATTATTTTCTTGTACTAGTCATTTTTGAGCTCTTCTAATTTTATTCTAAATTCGAGTAATTAGATTTGGACGATTTTGAACGTCATCACTGTGCTTAAGTTCTTGCTTAATATTTGGCTAATGTGGATTGCATGTCATAGTAAAAAATATATCTAATTTTTCAAAGCACTGCACAATAGCTATTCCATTCATGTATCTCTTTAGCATATTTCTAGGCCCACATGTAAAGGATTGCAGTAAAACAAACTTTCTTCCAATTTTATACCTCCTTGTATCCCATTTTGAACACTATCTATAATGCCTTGATAAACATCAGGACTAATTTGTTTCTGGTTAGTACGAAAATGGTCTAACTAGAAGTTTTAATCTTAACATACATATTTACAACATATTGTTAAAATAATCTATCAGTGTAAAGCAATATAGACTTACTTGAAACCTGATTTGAAGTTTGTACGAATAGCATTCTCAGTAAAAGACCTAAAAATGTGTATTTGCTCCATAAAGAACTACACGATAAGAACACAAACGTAATGTAAGTACATAAATAGAAATCTATATCGCAATAGTTCGAAAGTCTAGTAAAAACTATGTACAGAAACCTTTATCCTCTTTTTGAATAAGTTCATATGCAAAAGCAATTGTGTTGGGAAAAGCGATCAAATTAGGAAAACGCCGAGGCTCAAAGTGTATATTTCTGCATCTCTTAATGCCTTCATGTCAATTAGATTCCCAATATGGAAAAAGCAGAGGTTACTGCAAAGGAACATAACAGCCATAGTAGTATTGCACTGTACATTGTCTCAATTATGGTACTTTTTTTATATACATGTCATTTGGAAAATTAGAAATCTAACCCCGTTTCTCAAGAGCTAAAAGATTGGTTTGGTAAGATGATGTTTTCGTGACCCTTTTATTGAATGAAAAATGGAGTATTATTTCTCTGTGTTAAATTTGGAGTATTGGCTTCTTGTTTTTCATTAGTTTCTCGGCTATGTGGTGTCGGACCTCTCCAAAATGACTAATCAATCCATCAAGCTTGGAAGCAGAATTCGTCAGGCTTGTTTTTAATGATTTTCTTCTTTTTAATTATGTATGTCACAATATCACATTTTATATTTCATCTTGAAGAATTTCGTTATTTAATTAAGAATTTATGTTTCTTGAAATAGAGACAGAAGTGTTCTTCTTCTTCTTCTTTTTTTTTTTTTTTTTTCTCTATCTGATTGTGTTTGGTAACACTGATATGAAAAATGAGAATTTTAGGGTTTCTTTATTTTTTTTCATGAACATGGTCATGATGGCCTTGTTGACACTTCCTGCTCAAAAAAAGTTTTGATTGATATTATGCATCATTCGAAGTATAACAACTATAAAGTAAATTCTTTGGTCTCTCCATTTAACAACCTAATTCTAGCTTCGATTGGTGTTAAATTGTTAAGATATTGATGATCCGTGTCATGTGGATGTGTCAACGAAATGATTTTGTACTAAACTTAAATTAAACCTGTGGTTTCGATATTTTAACTGCATGTTGAAATCAAATTGGATCATTGTACAAGACTCACATAAATTTCTTTACTCACTGTCACTCATTCTCTAACCTCAGCTATCATTATGTTTCTCTCTCTCTCAAGGGTTGATTTTAAACATTTTGACATGTAGAGATTGAGTTGGCTAATTATAGTATCATAAAGAATCTAAAAATGTAATTTGTTCATTATTTAAAGTTGCTGTACAACCATACCGTCCTTCAATATCCAAATTTGATGTTTCCTTTATAACCAATCCTCTCAACCTTTCATTCTCATCTATATTTACATTGAAAGATACCAATCTATAGTAGTTTATGTTTTTACCTAATGGTTCTAAAATAGAACTTATATCCTGTAAAGCCTTGAACTCGGTATATTTTCATGCACATAATCATTGATCCCGTAAACATTGAATTTATCCCGTAGGAACTTTGGATCATTAGGGATGTAAAGCGTAAGAAGTGTAGCAAAGAGACTTCTTAAATAATTAGATATTTCATAGATAATAGCTTCATATAAACATTCTTCGCAATGATAATCCCTATGATATTTTTTATGATCTTTATTTCCATCTATACATACATTCTTAAGATATAGGTATCCACAAGGGCCATGTATATTGTGTTTAACAATAATAGAATGAAGATAAGAATATATATTATTGCTAGGTATTTCATATGACACTATCCTTTCAACTTCTTGAGCACAAGAAATCTTACTAATGCAGCTGAAAATCAATGGTAAATGTGCATGAGGGAGTCTTCTTTTTTGAAATTCAATAACATATATATGTGCAACAACATGGCTTAAGATTATTTTCTTGTACTAGTCATTTTTGAGCTCTTATAATTTTATTCTAAATTCGAGTAATTAGATTTCGACGATTTTGAACGTCATCACTGTGCTTAAGTTCTTGCTTAATATTTGGCTAATGTGGATTGCATCTCATAATAAAAAATATATCTAATTTTTCAAAGCGCTGTACAATAGCCATTCCATTCATGTATCTCCTTAGCATATTTCTAGGCTCACATGTAAAGGATTGCAGTAAAACAAACTTTCTTCCAATTTTATACCTCCTTGTATCCCATTTTGAACACTATCTATAATGCCTTGATAAACATCAGCACTAATTTGTTTCTGGTTAGTACGAAAATGGTCTAACTAGAAGTTTTAATCTTAACATACATATTTACAACATATTGTTAAAATAATCTATCAGTGTAAAGCAATATAGACTTACTTGAAACCTGATTTGAAGTTTGTACGAATAGCATTCTCAGTAAAAGACCTAAAAACGTGTATTTGCTCCATAAAGAACTACACGATAAGAACACAAACGTAATGTAAGTACATAAATAGAAATCTATATCTCAATAGTTCGAAAGTCTAGTAAAAACTATGTACAGAAACCTTTATCCTCTTTTTGAATAAGTTCATATGCAAAAGCAATTGTGTTGGGAAAAGCGATCAAATTAGGAAAACGCCGAGGCTCAAAGTGTATATTTCTGCATCTCTTAATGCCTTCATGTCAATTAGATTCCCAATATGGAAAAAGCAGAGGTTACTGCAAAGGAACATAACAGCCATAGTAGTATTGCACTGTACATTGTCTCAATTATGGTACTTTTTTTATATACATGTCATTTGGAAAATTAGAAATCTAACCCCGTTTCTCAAGAGCTAAAAGATTGGTTTGGTAAGATGATGTTTTCGTGACCCTTTTATTGAATGAAAAATGGAGTATTATTTCTCTGTGTTAAATTTGGAGTATTGGCTTCTTGTTTTTCATTAGTTTCTCGGCTATGTGGTGTCGGACCTCTCCAAAATGACTAATCAATCCATCAAGCTTGGAAGCAGAATTCGTCAGGCTTGTTTTTAATGATTTTCTTCTTTTTAATTATGTATGTCACAATATCACATTTTATATTTCATCTTGAAGAATTTCGTTATTTAATTAAGAATTTATGTTTCTTGAAATAGAGACAGAAGTGTTCTTCTTCTTCTTCTTTTTTTTTTTTTTTTTTTTTTTTTTTTTTTTTTTTTTTGCGTGCTATTTGATTGTGTTTGGTAACACTGATATGAAAAATGAGAATTTTAGGGTTTCTTTATTTTTTTTCATGAACATGGTCATGATGGCCTTGTTGACACTTCCTGCTCAAAAAAAGTTTTGAAAAATGAGAATTTTAGGGTTTCTTTATTTTTTTTCATGAACATGGTCATGATGGCCTTGTTGACACTTCCTGCTCAAAAAAAGTTTTGATTGCTATTATGCATCGTTCGAAGTATAACAACTATAAAGTAAATTCTTTGGTCTCTCCATTTAACAGCCTAATTCTAGCTTCGACTGGTGTTAAATTGTTAAGATATTGATGATCCGTGTCATGTGGATGTGTCAACGAAATGATTTTGTACTAAACTTAAATTAAACCTGTGGTTTCGATATTTTAACTGCATGTTGAAATCAAATTGGATCATTGTACAAGACTTACATAAATTTCTTTACTCATTGTCACTCATTCTCTAACCTCAGCTATCATTATGTTTCTCTCGCTCTCAAGGGTTGATTTTAAACATTTTGACATGTAGAGATTGAGTTGGCTAATTATAGTATCATAAAGAATCTAAAAATGTAATAAGATTGAATCAGTTTGAAGATAATGATTTTTTATTTTCAAATGTTTTGACAATAATTAAATCTAATTCTATTCACACTTGTTAAAGTATATAAATTTTTAATTTGAGAGATACAACATACTCAATAGTCTTTAAAAATTTTTAAACTACATCTAGAACTTAATTTTAATTTATATTTCCAAATGAATTTTTGAAGCAATTGTGTTTCATACGGAGTTTATGATAAGGAAAGTAAAAAGAAAGTGGACTAGTATGTTTGATATCCTATATTATTCAATTTTTTTCCATATAGAGCCTAAAATTAACGCTAAACAACAATTTTTTCTAACATGAGGCCTCTACAAATCTGTCTTAATCACAGCAATAGGACTCTTGACTTAATGTATAGATGACTTTCACAAAATATATCCCTGAGCATTGGTTAGGTAAGAAATAGTGACTGATTTGCTAAACGTAATTATAAATTTTAACTTCTCATTCAATTATGAGAAATTAAGACTATAAGGTTTGACAACCACATTAACACCATAAGGTGAAAAATATCCAATGTACAGTGCATTGGTCTTAATCACAGCAATAGGACTCTTGACTTAATGTATAGATGACTTTCACAAAATATATCCCTGAGCATTGGTTAGGTAAGAAATAGTGACTGATTTGCTAAACGTAATTATAAATTTTAACTTCTCATTCAATTATGAGAAATTAAGACTATAAGGTTTGACAACCACATTAACACCATAAGGTGAAAAATATCCAATGTACAGTGCATTGGCCTCACCAACATTTGTTACTGTCCTGGTATACGTCTAACTTGTTAGTCCAATGACTATTGAAAATGATAAATACTACAGTTGCCCTTCCAAAATTCTTGACACATCTAAGCAATTCACTTTACGTTGTAAAATCGTGCTTATTTGTCTATTTGTGTATTTCAGATCACATAGATAGAGAATATAGATTTGAGATTTAATATCAAAATCAACCTAGGATCATTAGCCTTGGAAGGGTTAACATAATCAGAACGGCAATAGAAATGCCAACTTGAACGAATTTCTCGTTTTTATTGGGAGCATTATTGCAATTTACAATATCGACACTAGCCATAATTGTTAACTTAATGATGACAAGAGACAAATTGGGGAGTGTGCTCTGGAGCAAGACCATGATACCACTAGAGTGTAAACATGACATCGAGATACAAGATACTATGTTGATTTTAAATTTTGCACCAGTAACGTTTTCAACGGACAAAGATCATACTGCAAGGATGTTCATACCAGGTCGATAATATCGAACTTTAAAATTTCTGAGCTAACCTGATTGGGATCTCTAGACAAAAAAATGCCACTATTGGAGCGCTTTTGGTGCCAATTAGTGTTCCCTTGAATACTATTATTTCTGTTGATTTAGATATCAAGTTTGTACATGCTAGTATCCTTTACGTGCCCTCATAGTTCACATTTATTGCTAGAAGAACTTAAGGATCGACAAATGTACTAAATCTCGATCCTCTATATTCATAAAAACTATGACAGCATCATCAACATTCTTCACCACTTGTTCTTGAATAATTCTAGTTGTCGTAACATCTACTTTACAAAGGATTACCTTTCCTTCGACATCAAAATTTTTCAACGACAAAGGTGTACAATCTGTGTTTTAGAACCACCAGAATTCAATTCAAGGTAATTGATAGGCAATTGTTTTTTATGGAAATCTTTGGATTGAAATGTTGAGTCTCCCTCAAGCTTCTCGTTGTTCCCTATAACAGCCATTAAGAGTAAACTATTAGCAATGGCTGTTCTAGGGAACAACGAAGAGCTTGAGGGAGAATCAGCATTTCAACCCAAAGATTTCCATAAAAAACAATTGCATATCGTTTTTCCTGAATTGAATTCTAGTGGTTCTAAAACTCCAGATTGCACTCCTTTATTGTTGAAAAGTGTTGATGTCGAAAGAAAATTAGTCCCTTGCAAAGTAGATGTTGTGATAACCAGAATTGTTCAAGGACAAGTGGTGAAGAATGCTGATGGTGCAATCATGGTTATAATGAATGTAGAGGACCGGGAACTTAGTACATTTATCAACCCTTATGTTCTTCCAACAACAAATGTCAATTATGAGGGTGAGCAAAAGATACTAGCCTATATAAACTTGATATCTAAACCAATAGCAACAATAGTGTTCAATGGAAAAATAATTGGCACTAAAAATGCTACAATAGTGGCATTTTTTTCGTTTAGATGTCCCAATTAGGTTAGTCCACGAATTCTAAAGCCCGATGTCATCAGACTTGGTGTAAATATCCTTAAGTTATGGCCTTTGTCCGTTTAGAACATTACTAGTGCAAAATCTAAATTCAACATGGTATCTCGTACCTCGATGTCATTTCCACACCTTGATGGTGTCGTGGTCTTACTCCCAAGCACACACCCCGATTTTGTCTTATGTTGTCATTAAGTCAGCAATTATGACTAGTACTGATTTTATAAAACTCAATAATGCTTCCATTGAAGATGAGAAATTCGTTCCAGTCTATATTTTTGTAGTCGATTTTGATTATGTCAACCCTTCCAAGGTTAATGATCCTAGGTTAATTTATGATATTGAACCTCAAGACTACATTCTTTATCTATGTGGTTTGAAATATACAAATAGACAAATGGACATAATTTTATAACGTAAAGTGAATTGCTCAGATGAATCAAGTATTTTTGAAGGACAACTGAATTATCCATCATTTTTCATAGTCATTGAACTAACAAGTTAGACATATACCAGCACAGTAACTAATGTTGGTAAGGCTAATGCATTATACACTGTGAATATTCTTTCACCTCATGGTGTTAACGTGGTTGTAAAACCTTGTAGTCTTAATTTCTCAGAGTTGAACAAGAAGTTAGAATTTAAAGTTACATTTGGCAAATGAGATACTATCTCTTACATAACCAATGCTTAGGGATATATTTTATGGAAGCCATCTATACATTCTGTTAGGAGCCCATTGCTGTGATTAAGGTAAATTCATAGTGGCCTCGTGTTGGAAAAAATTGTCGTTTATCTATAACTTTAGGCTCTATGAAAATGGATTTGAATAATATAGGATATCAAACATAAGTAGTCTACTTTATTTTAATTTTCATTATCATTAACTCCATATGAAACTCGATTGCTTGGAAGAATTCATTTGAAAATATAAATTAAAATTGTGTAAGTTCCTAGATGTAGTTTAAAAAATTTTAAAAGCTATTGAGTAGGTTCTATCTATCAAATTAAAAAATTAAATATTTTAGCAAGCGTGAATATAATCAAAGTTAATTTTTGTCAAAATATTTGGACATGAAAAATCATTATCTTCAAACTGATTCAAACTTATTACTCATGAGAAGCATTTTAGATTCTTTTTGATACTGTAATTATTCAACTCAATCTCTACATGTCAAAATGTTTTAGAACATTAATGTTCAGAGTTATGAGCAAATGTTTAAAATCAACTCAGTGACACAGTGATAGCTAAGGCTAGAGAGCAAGAGTGACGGTGAGTATAAAAATTTAAGTAAACCTTGTAGAATGATCCGATTTGATTTCAATATACAGTTAAAGTATTGAAACCAACGACTTAATTTACGTTTAGCACAAAATCATTTTGTTAACGGATCCACGTGACAACAATCGTCAATTTCGAACACGAAATTTCAATTCAATTTTTGAATTTCGAAAAATTCTTAACAATCAATTCAACACCAATCGAAGCTAGAATTATCCTTTTATCTAATGATAGTATATTATTGACTTTTTTTTTTATTTAAATGGAGAGGCCAAGGAATTTACTATATAGTTGGTTATATTTCCAATGACGTATAATGGCAAGCAAAACTTTGTTGAGTAGGAAGTATCCCCAAGACCGTCGTAACAATGTTCATGAAAAAAAATAAAGAAACCTTAAAATTCTCATTTTCATATCAAAAGAAACCCTAAAATTTTCATTTTTCATATCAACATTACCAAACACAATAGGATAGCAAAAAAATCAAAACACCAGTATCCCTATTTCAAGAAACATAAATTCATAATTCAATAACCAAAAATTTTCAATATAAAATATAAATTATGATATTATGACATAAAATTGAAAAATAAAAACCTCAGTAAAATAACAAACCTGACGAAGTCCGCTTGCAGACTTGATGGTTTGATTAGTCATTTTGATGTGGTGTTGGAAACTGATGAAAAACAAGAAACCAACTATCATCATAAAAATGATTTACCTGATGAAAACAATGAATAAAACATGCATGATGATTATATCTCAGTCACTTGATCAGAAGTTTATATTCCGCTATAGACAAGCATAATTTGACACGGGACAAACAAGAGAAAAATATTCAGAGGTGCATATCACAAGATTTCCCTTTTCTAAGGTTGCTGTGTATCTTAAAGTGGCTGAAGCACGTTTGGCACACTCCAGACCTGGAAATAGGAATTGCATTACTAATCAAGTTCTGAACATCAAAGAAACTTTAGTATATAATGTTTAACGGCGCATCTAACCTTCAGATTGAAGTGATCAACGATATGAATAATTGACCCTCCACTGTCACATGGACGGATCACATATCACGATGGAAGTATCTCAGCTCAAAAAAACTATGAAGTTGCTGATGCACTTGGGCTAGTCGCAGTACCCGAAAGATATCTTTCACTGACTTTTATGGAACAAGAATGAAAATGTTCAAAAAGAAAAAGATGCATGGCACTATCCTCAATATAAAAACATCAAGTTGACAAAGTTGTAACAACCCATTTTAATAGAATCATGACATTTCTAACACATAATAGTTGAATAGATGCAATAGCAGTTTACCTTGGTCAAGACAACCGTGAAGCAGCTTGCAAATAAGGCTATTTATTCATATATCTTTCTCTTTGTTTTGGATCACTCTGTGTGCAAGTGCAACTTTTCCAGACAGGAAGGTTTAATCAATGATGGAAAGGTTTTGTAGAGCTTAAGAATGAGAAAAAAATAGCTATACAAGTTATTCAATGCTCAGTTCATTCAAATATGGAGATGAGTCTTTCATTAGTTTAGTTCCAGATATGAAGAAAATTAAACACATGCATCATGATTATACCTCAGTCACTTGGTCAGAAGTTTATATTCAACTATAGACAGGCATAATTTGACATGGGACAAACAAGATTTCCATTTTCTAATGTTGTTGTGTATCTTAAAGTCCAAAAGTCACGAGCAGGAGCTAATTTAGTTGGTGCATCCGTCTGCAAATAGCATCTAAGGATTTATTTCTTCCACACAAGAACTTGAATAAAGAATATTATAGGACCAAGATATTTGAAAAATTCACCTGTGTATACAAAAGATCAATTGTTCCTCCACTTTCAGTAGGAAACTTTGTGAAAAATTCAAGGCTTTGACATTGTTGCAACCGAGAGGAAAATGATCAACAGGGCATATCGGAAAAAAAATAAAAAAAAATAAAAAAAAAAAAAAGAAAAAAAAAATTTGCTAGATTAACTAATTAACAAAAATAAATAAATAAATAAATGATGTATACTTTGCAATGGGTGGTGCATATACCCATTGTTGTATACCAGCTGGGATTACCTGCTTTGCAAGGTGGTTATTTTCCTCTATCAACAGCTTCTTCATACGACTGAATTTTTTATTCACATTATGAAGCTGGGTGGAATCTTTCCTCTGTTTCACTCAATACCTAAATTCAAAAAGAATGATTTCCAAGCATTCATCAAAACTAAAATAAACCCATAATGACATTATAAACATAATCAAATCCACCGAGAATGTAAGAAACTGACAACTGAAAATCAAATAAAGAATTCCATGTTAAAATGCTTAAATCTAAATTTAAATTTAATTTCTTTGACCAAAACGATAAAGTAATCAAGGTGAAAGAAATCGAACTAAAAAGTGCACAAGTCAAAATTATTAACGAACTGAGTTGATTCTGCAAGTATTTTGTAAGTCGTGAAAGTCAATTTACCTTAAGAGTCCAAGAAATATAATTTTATACATTGAATTTAGAAACTCAACAGGGTAAAAGTCATTTTACCTTAAGAGTCCCAGAATTATAATTTATAATTTGAATTTAGAAACTAAGCTGGATAAATGTAATCCCTTAAACATGATATTAACTGTTTTTTCCTGGTGACATAAGATTGATGTTGTGGTCATATTCTTTGATAATACAATGGACGATAATCAGTTATAGCTGCATATTAAACGTAAGAAAGAACATGAGACATTAGTTTGATGAGAAGTTTAATAAAAAATAACAGAATGAAAATATGTTTAAAACAATTAGAAAACCTTGTTGAAATGCAACTGATCAATAGAGGCAGTACTAATGTCAGAATTATGATCTGCTGTTTGAAATTGTCCGTGCCTGCATAAAGGGAAAAAAAGGAATAATAATATTTTCTTGACCAAACGGTACGCAGTTCCTTCGCAATGCCTTCTTCTTCTATCACAAAGGTTTAAATATAGCATTATCTGTTCGACAAACTGGAGCATTGTCAAGTGTAAAAAAATTGCGTCTGAAAATGTTTTACCTTTAAAAGAATTTTTATAAACATGCTAGTTTTTGCTCAGGACAGTGCCACATAAAGTTGACCATGACAAAAAACAGATTTCGGAAGATGCAGATCAACAAAATCAAGTATTTGACCTTGTGCTTTATTTATAGTCATTGTAAAACATGGCCTAATTAGAAATTGAGTTTTTTTAAATGGAATTGATTTTTAATCACTTTCAAGAGGCATGAAAGGGGTCCTTGGAAAGAAAACATGTTTTACACAATATTCACCAATTTTAATTTCAGCTAGAAATACGTTTTTCTCAAATTCTCGGCAAGTGAAACTTATTAAATTACATAACTTTTGAGAAGAATTTATATTTCGTAATAACATTATAGGACAGTTTACCTTGAGGTTTAATTCATGTGGTGGTATACCATTTAAAGTTAATCTATTCAACAAATCTTCTTGTAGGCTCCATTCTTATTGGTCAATTGCTTCATTAAAACTATAGCACGTAAACATTTGACCTGGAATTTGTAGTAAAATTTTGTTAATATGATAAATGCAGTCATTTCTGGTCATACGAATAACTAAATTAACCATCGTATGTGCATTATCAGCATATGCTTCTATATTTGGAAAGACATGATGTATTAAATTTTTTAAAAACGTAATTTCATCCTCAAATGGTAAGATAATACTTCTTTGAAGCGTAATGCATTTAGAATTATTTTCCTGCTCTGTTCTATCTCCAATGCTAAGCAAGTAATCACAAAATGCGGGATCTAATTTCAACCTCATATTTTGAACTAATGGTAAATGCAAATACAAAGGTCATAGGTTAGAGAAAAACTAAGCTTGCTTTTATTATATCTTCTTTTTTCCTCTTGGTACCACTGGTAGAATTTAACAAAAATGTCATCTGAAAACTATAACTTTCCCACCAAAAGGAAAACTGCAATCATTATATCTCTAGACATTTTATCTACAACTTCAATAGCACAACGATTTACCATAAGTGTTTCATCCCAAATTATTAACCTAAGAATTTTATCAAAGTTCCCAATGTCTATCGCTTGCTAATAGAACATACAATTTCACCAATTGTTTTCAAAATAATTTTAAATCTCGAATAAGTTGTTCGACTTCCAAGTAATAGAGATGCGAATACTCTAGAAGATGCAGTGGCTAAGGCAATTAAATTTTTGAGATCTTACACGAACTAATAGGGCTTTACATGAAAAAGTTTTGCCTATTCTACCTAGATCATGAATGAAGAAAGTGCCTCCTAATTCTGATTTCACTCTGTCCATAATTGTATCATATGCAAACTGCCGTTCCTTATTTAAAGTTGCTGTACAACCATACCGTCCTTCAATACCCAAATTCGATGTTTCCTTTATAACCAATCCTCTCAACCTTTCATTCTCATCTAAATTTACATTGAAATATACCAATCTATAGTTGTTTATGTTTTTACCTAATGGTTCTAAAATAGAACTTATATCCTGTAAAGCTTTAAACTCGGTATATTTTCATGCACAAAATCATTGATCATGTAAACCTTGAATTTTCCCCGTAGGAACTTTGGATCATTAGGGATGTAAAGCGTAAGAAGTGTAGCAAAGAGACTTCTTAAAGAATTAGATATT